TGTATCCAGGTGGGTAATTTCTACGTGTTGTATCCTTCGCCGTACTCCGTAACATGTCCACACCACTGCTCCACACGGAGAGACCAACTGCCACTCGCTGCTACTGCTGACCTTCATGACGGATGCTCTTCAACGGGATTACGACATGGTTGCGACAAGATGTCTCGGCAAACCGCTCTGAGGAACACCAGGGAAGTTGACAACAATGGCCACATTGGATGTATATCACTTGAACACTTTCCGTGCTCTACTGATGCTGATGACCAACACCAAACATACCAGGAAACCACCTAACACGATACAAACTGAACGCTATGCCCTACCTACCATGCACCAGGTGTACCATTCTCTTCTACTGTAAGCATCACTGATACGCTACCCCCAAAAAGGGTCAAATATGTTTGTTTTTTTTTTGTAAATTCTAAAAAAACGGCATGAAACACCTACTGCCCGTGAAATTCAAAAATCTATTGGTTTGAAAAAAGAGTGATGTACTGCTGTATAGCCTTCTTTCCATCTTCCATGATTTTACATCAATATTATATATTTCTCCTTAAATTCCTAAAACCAGCAAGCTGTCAATAGACACTGCGCCGTGTCCCCTGTGAAGGTTACATCTTACAGTACACGACACTACGGAGGGATTCTCCCCGATATTTTGTCGTTGACCCAGTAGAGAACTACAGCTGTNCCGTTCGACTGTGGGTATATATATCTCGAATGGGTAGTCTTTCTGTGCGTGTATTTATACATGGGTCCCACGTGTATCAGGAATTTTGACACGAGCACGAAATTTTGACACGAGACCAGAATTTTGACACGAACCGTCAGAATTTGGACACGAGAGGTTACGCCGCATTTTTTCATGTCAGAATTACAGGTCAAAATTTTTCGAAAACGTGGTCAAAATATTTTCACCTGAGGTATTTTGACACGAGAAAACGACAAATTGACACAAGCGCCATCATCGCACACACACGCAGGCATCAACTCAGTCGGCAAGCTCGCACGCAGCTTCCCGCACACCCACACACGTGAACACAACGCTCCCGGGAGTACATCGCGTTAGGGGAACGTCAAGCCGCGGTTAGGATCGTGTGCGTTCATCGCGGGATCGAGAACAAAACACGCCGAGGTTGGTCTGTCTGGACTCTGGACTGGAAGCGCACGGGAGATAACCACAACAGCAGCTAGTCGGGTGCCCCGCCTGTGAAGGGAGAGGTTACAGCAGTTGTTGGTGGAAGAGACGGTAGCTCTGGGAGCACGTACTAGGGGCGCGAAGCCGCTGGCGGCAGTTGGGATTTGGGGAGTGTAGTTCGCGGAGTGTAGTTTTCGGGAGTCGAGAGGAAACATGTCTCCAGCTTTTCTACGCCAAACATGGCCATCACGAGGAACATGTCCTCCTCTCCAGCTAGCGCGCACAACACAGCAAGCAGTACAACCTGCATGCACTCATCATACCACTCGTAGCGGATTCTACGTCGCGCAAGGCGCGCCATCCCCTCGCTCCGTGTCGGGTGCGGTGATGAGGGAGCGCGACCGTTGGGTTTCCCGGCGGTGCAGCGGTGCAGCTGGGGTTGATTTTTTTTTTACTTGAGGCTGCACCGCTGCTGGCTGCTGGCCTTCGCCAGGCAACGTGCGGCGGAATATTTTTTCGTGTCAGTTTACCAACCGTTACCTTTTTTCGTGTCAATTTGCCAACCGTCACTTTTTTTGGTGTCAATCTATCTCAGTCAAAAACTTTCGTGTCAATTTAACGTAGGAACCCAGGAATATCACTCTGTGTGTTTGCCTACCTAACCTCGCATCACATGCCAGCTACTTCGTAGCCACAGCTGAAGGAATAGCTGTACAGCGACTGCAGTGACAGTACTGTTGCCTCAACAGGTTTTGAGTTGCTCGAGCTTGTACACCAGAGTCACAAGAGTCGGTAATCATGACTACCGGCTCGTCAGGCGAGATCCGAAGAGGATTCGCCAAGTTCAGTGGTGACCCAACTACCAGAGCGCGGCCTCGCAGACTGTGCAGGCATACGCGCCTATCGGGCCTTCCTACAACGGAGACGGTTGTGGAGCCTTCCTCGCCCTGGAACGAAAATACCAGGCCGCTGGGGTATACCGTGCGCAGGAGCTGCACGAGAAGTTTATATCTTTGGCAGTTACTGCGGACCACGACTTTGACCCGGCCAATGTTATTCAAGACATGCGCCGGATCTGCACGGAGCTCGCCGTGTATAATGACACTGTGGCTGACCACCGAAAAACGTTCCTAAAAGCACTGCCGGACGACCACTACAAAGAGTTCAAGACAGAACTACTGTGCGCCCAAGCTGCTGGGAGCGTCTTGTCCTTCGAGGAGGTCGCCGACCGAGCCACTTCGTTCCACGCGATGCACATTCGTGGTAAAACTGCGTCGAAGAACGCGTCCGGCAGCAGCAGCCGTGCGCTGAATACCGTCACACACGGCGGAGCGCGTTCTTTCTGTAAGGGCGGCGGTCATCATGGTCGTGGACGCGCGCAGCGCGGTGGACGAGGACGTGGCAGCTGGAACAACTCGTCGAACCGTAACAACGGGTCTACGAGGGGGAACAACAGCAACGATCAGAACCATGGCGGCGCGACTTCTGGCGACGGAGCTGGTGCGTTTTGCGTCTTCCGACAACCGGTCCTCTGGACGGCCGAACCACACGCAGCAAAAACGCGGGTACGACAGGGACGGCCTATGCAGTTACTGTCACAATTCTATGGAACACACCTGGACGAACTGCCCGCTTCGCGCCTCCAATGCCACGCGGTTTTCGAACCGTGAACAACAGCAACCGCAGCAGCAGGTCAACACGACCGCGGAAGCCACGACACAGGCGTGGCTCACGAAC